CATCAACCATAAACCTAACATATCTAATCCGTACCAGTGTAGTAGAAGAGAATAAACCAAACATTATGGCAATGTAGCATGCAAAATAAAAAGTTGTGAACGAGAAAGTGGTTTGTTTGTTAAAAAAAAAAAAAAAAAGGAAAAAAAATAGCATTTCTGACATGAGGCTTTACAGTCTGCTGCCTCTTGCAGTCCTCCTGACCTGACTCTGACCAGTAGAGGCACAGAGGCAGAAAGGTTGAAGCCCCCCTTTGTACATTAATGGCTTATGTTACTGCTCTCTTCTTTTCTTTTCTTTCTGCCCCCTTCACCTTTTCTTGTGATGGGGGGAAATGTGTACTAAAGTAAACCAGACAGAATCACAAACCGTACATCCTGTCCCTCCACACCGGGCATCTAGCTACCCCTCAGCCCAGTTTGGCCCTTGCCTGTCCCTGGCACTGTTGTCAGCTTGCTCAGCAGAGGGATCCACAGTGCTGTCAGTGTGTAGTTTTTTAGGACATTCATCCCTGTATTTACACATGCTTTGTCCCTCATGGATTTGTCATGAGATGATAGCTTTGAGCGTCATATCAGAGAGCAACCCAGGTATGAATTTCTCAACTCACGCCAGCCGCTGGAGTGCTGTGTGTGAGGTCTTTTACACACGGTGCCCACACAGAAAACCACACAGAAAACAAACGCAGCAAACTTTTTCTTGCTGGAAAAAAACAGCACGCCAGCATCCTCGCCAGCAGAGGGCACTGTCCGACTGCTCCGAGCCGAGAGAGAGAAAGAGAGAAAGAGAGGCATGCAGCTCACTTCAGTCAAACAGACGGACAGTTACAGGTTAGCTGTAGTGATGAAGAACATGACCACACACTGCCGACATTCAGAACACAGGATTGGTGACCAGGGATCGACTACCGCCTTATCGTTTAATAAGATCTCACTGCACCACAACCACCACCACCACCACCACCCTGCACCCACCCACCCTCCCTCCACTCCTCTCCCACTGTCATGGCCCACCCTACACATCTGCTCATGAACCAGTATGCATCCACCAATTCCTTTAAGCGTGAGGGGACAGTAGAGATTAGATTCCCTGTAGAAGCAAGGGGACAGTGTTCTTGCATGCTGGCTTTGTTAATGACAGTGGTGTGCGTGCGTGTGTGTGTGTGCGTGTGTGTGTACAAGCGTGTGTGTGTTTGTAAGTTTCCTTCACCCTGTTATGATAACAAGCTATTGTCTTTCCAAAGGAATAGTCCCTAGGAGTAACTCTTTAACGCTGTTGCCCTGGTGTCAAGGGAACACCTTTCTAGTACCTCAGTAACAGATATTGAATGTACTGTGCATACCCTTTTATTTTTTGTACAGATTTTCTAGATACTTCTTTACTATTCTTTACCAGAAGGGTTGTGAAATTGTAGCAGTAATGATACAATAAAAAAAAAACCATTGCCCCATGAAATAAATTGACAAAATCTTTTGAGGTTCGCTATAGGTCACTGAATACTCAGGCTTCAAAACCAATGCGTATCTCTTTGCCTTCTACCTTTTTATTTCCTCATTGTGGAAAATTCAGCACAACGCTTTTCCATTCTTAGACTTCAGACTGTAGTTGATGTGTTTCGACCTCCATCTTACTGGCTAATGAAAAATAAGGAAAGAACTAAAGTCGGTCGCCGTGGTCTGCTAGTTTTCTTTTACTAGAACAGTAGTAGTAGATGCTGTTTTTGTTTTGTTTTTTACCGCCCCTTCATTGTCAGGCTGCTCTATCTATAGTGCATGTGAGGTAATGTTTTAGGGGAAATACTATTGGCTTAAAGAATTTGTGTCATCTTGCTGTTTCCCTCTGCTCCCCAGCCTCCCTCCCTCCCCCCGCTCCTCAGAGTGTTTTCAACCCGAGTTGCCATTTTTGTCGTGGTCAGTTTTCCAGTGATGTACAGTTTTCCCCTCAGAGTCTATGAGAGACATGGAGCATGTCTGTGTCCTGAGATGCTAGGCTCCTCTGTCATGTGATGAGTATATATTTTTAAAAAATAACCCCCATAGTTCGGATTATGAGCATAATAGTAATCTTAAATTTTTGCTGTTGATGATGATTATATATATTTTTTTCAGTTCAGCAGTGCACTGTTATGAAAACCATTCTGTTTTATTGTAGGATTTCATTTTTATTGATATGCTGTCTGTGTTCTACATGTTGTACTGAAACATTTCAGAGAAAACAAGAGATCCCTCTCCTGGTGATTATTTTGTTTTAATTATTCTTTTGTCGTCCCCCCCCTCGCCGCTCATCCCAACTGTCCTTTCCAGCTAATATCCTCTGGGCCTTACTTATTCTCTCCCTGTAAAAGTAGCTGTTATAGAAAGTCGCCATGGAACCACTCACTGCCTTAATACAGTTGACCACAGCAGGTGAAGTCAGACACACCCAGTTGAAAAGAACCGGCCACAATCAAGGCCGCTTCTCACACCCCGACAGGCCTAAAGTCTGCAGCACCTTGCGTTTCTTTTTTCAGCGATGAACAACATTTAGCCTCTTAGACAGTTTGTTTTTAACATGAACACGTAAAATCCAGTGTGAATTCTTACTCTGCATTAGTAACTAAGGTTGTCTTTTTGTTTTCTTGTTTTTTTATTTTTATTTTTTAAAGTTCAAGTCAGCCCGGCAGTGTGTATGTGCCTAGGCTAACAGATAAGCACAGTGTGTATGCTCACAAAGCCACAGCTGATATTTCACTCTTGGGTGTGAGAATGCCCTCACCCACCCTTTCACCACCACACTGGGGCTCTAACAGCATCTTCCATGGTGCTGCCAGAGCCCCAGTGGGGCTGGGAGGGGGAGGGCATAGCGGACACTGGTGTGGTCTGTCAAAAAAAAAAAAAAAGCAGAATATTAAGAATCGGTCACTTTTTCTCTCTCAGGGTTCAAATGCACACATATCCTCCAGCAGTCGCCCTCTGTCTCTTGTCCCTCGTCCCAAGTTTTCCGCCCTCAGAATATAGAACAGCCTCCTGTGTTTTTAGAATTAACTTTCCCCTCGTCTCCCACTTTCCTCCCCCTTTGTGCACAGGTCTGAACTTTTTTTTGTTTTGCTTTGTTTTGGCACTGACATCTAACCATCTAACAAGGAATGAATGAATGTTTGAAAGTGACTGTGTGTAATGTTAAAATTGGGAAATGTATTTTTACAACATGTGAACGTGTTTTTTTTTTTTTTTTTGTTTGTTTGTTTTTTTCCACTCACTCTCATTGTGAATTGATTTTTTGTTTTGTTTTTTTCTTTCACCAGACTGCAAAAACAAACAAAAAAAACAAACAAAAAAAATCTCCTGTAACTAGGCTCTTAAGCTTTATTTTTGTTTTGTTTACTTTTTTATTAGAAACAATCATGTTTGTGATGGTAACTTCCGATGGTAAACTCCACACCGTATTTTAATAAAATCTTAAAAATTAAGCTTGTGCTCAGTTTTTTTTTTTTTCCTTTTTATAAATAACGTATAAGGGTGTAAGGGTTCCTTTAGTGGTCAGTAAGTTGGTTATAACACTTCTGGACATTGAGCTGTGTTTACAGAGATTTTGGCGTCAACAAAATTATTAACTACCACAGTTTGTCAGCTCTTTTATATGGCAGCGGGGGGTTATGCAGTGCCAGAACAGGCACAGCTTTATGAGTGGGCAGGCTAGGTGGGGTGTAATGGGAAAAGGGGGATTCTGTGTAGACCCACAGGGCAGAGAAGGGGNNGGGGGGGGGGGGAATTATCAGCCCCAAAATTGCTACCACATGCACATAACCAGGAGCCTGCTCTTAAAATGGACTGAAGGTCTACTTACTTGAGAGGCATCATTAGGAGCCTGATGGCTATAAGGCTGGCATCCTCGTGGGTTAGGGTGCCGTGGAGTCCATCATGGGAGGGTTGGAGATCGATTGTGTTTATTGGCTCCTTCAGGTTTTAATTCCCAGTGTGCATCCAGTTATTTTCTTCTGCCGCATAACTGGCAGTAAGACAATGTCACAAATGTTAAATACTCCAATTTAGTTTTGCTTTTAGACTCGTGGTTTTGATACAAAAATAGCAAGATAAAGTTATATAAGAAGTCTTTTCCATACATTCTTCTCTGTCAAATCCTGGTGCCTACATTACCCCAATGCAACTCGACCACATCCTCAGGAGAGCCCGCTAGCCCTATCCTGAGCCAGGACATGACGAGCAGCTGACTCACTTCTTCCTGACATCCACATTGTTTTCCGTCTTCAAGACTCAGCTAGTCTTGAGCGCCAACTGGTGTGACTCAAATGACATCACTTGAGGCAGTTTATCCGACTTCACGCAGCTCCCTCTGGAGCCACAAAAAAGGTTTTATACAACTTTTTTCCACACATGCAGTAGTAACTCCCCAAGATCTGTAAACATACTTGGATGTGTAAAACCAGTGGAGTTCCCGCCTTTATTAGTAGGGGAACTTTTAACTGGTTACTTCTTAAGGAGAGTCCACAATATCTTTACTGAAAGTAACGATAAACAGGATTGTGACCATGTCCAAAAATTTAAAAACTATTTTTATAATAACTCCCATCTGGTAAAACCCTCTCATGTTCACTTCTTCTCCCTCCCAACCCTTATTATAATTATAATAAATATAATGACTACAGTGGGTTGATAATAAACCACAAAAAAATACAAGAAAATTATGATGATGAATAATAATAAGATATGACCACAAACATATTTAAATAATGTTTAAGCTGCTACAACAAGTACAAAGTTAAAGCTGCTATCCTCACAAACTTATTCCTAATATTTCAAATTCACACCTCTAGTGCGTGGTTATTGTCTGCTGGCACACCAATGGGGATTTTAGGTCTATGACGTGTTTCCTAAAGTCATTGTCATATTTCTCAGAAAGGGATAGATTTCTTTTAAAATGAAACAAAAACATGTTTTCAGCCACATGGAGGTGGAGGGTATGTCCTCCTTCTTACATTTTATGTCATTACGTTTATTGCCAGCAATTAAAGCATCTTTATTAATGCTTTAAGTCCTGAGTCTAGCACGATAAGTCTGGGTAGGTATCAGCTCCTGTGATATTTTAATAAATCCCTATTAAAGGACTAGTTTTGCACAGTCCCAGAATATATATATGAGCACAGTCTCTGTTTTACACCTAGGAGACATTTTAGACATACTGTTTGTCATGGTGAGTCTCTGGTGTAAAGTAGTTACTATGAATGATACCTGCAACAGCTCGTGACGGCTGTTAAGAAAAGGACTGAGTCTCTTTATGTATTGATTCCTGTTCACAGTCTGTAAAACAGATGTCCAAGTACTTTTCCCGCTTAGCCTTAACTGTTCGACTGCCATTGAGTTGTAAAATTTTAAAGGTTTTAATGGAGTAGGGCGTCCGCCCTGTAGTGAACAAATATAGTGCCTCACCTGTAGGTACTTAGACTGGATACGGTATATCCAAGGTGGTGATACGTGGAAACATTTAAAGATTTTTATTTTTATTTGATATATGATATGATTTATAATTATATTTTCCATAAACTTGGATAACATTTTATCCTTCCAGTAGAGGTAATTTTTATCCAGTGTTGGGCAAACTAGTGGGGAGTTCAGCCTTTAAACATTCAAAGGAACTAGATGTCTCATAATTATAAAGGTCCCCTAAAGTATGTAACACTGTAGCGCTATGGACGTTTACCTGTATATCTGTCCAAACTCTAGAGATAGGATTTATGAGAGGATTATCTGTACCTGTTTTTAAAGTGTGATATCTCAATAAAAGGGACACCTGCCAGCTGCGTAACACTATGTGCTCGATCTGCTTCCAAGCAGGGAAGCTTGTCAAAATGATTTAGCCAAATCCAGATTGATCTAATTGTGGCCTCCCAGCAATAGAGCTGGAAGTTTCAGGCTTCCTCCTTGATAAGCGTTATTATGTAGTGATTTCCCTCTCGGTGGCTTTCTCCTACATACAAACCTGGAGATCATAGCTTCTAATTTCCTAGAAAAAAATTATAGGGATGGGGCAGAGTGATCTATCTAAATCATTTTAACCCTCTTAAACTGTATTAGATAAATAGATTAAGTATCTATCTATCTCTATCCCGAGGGAAATTCAAGTATTGTGATGGCTAAAGACTCAATCACTATAGAGCACAAAAGGGGGGATAATTGGAGGGGTGCCACAGGATAAGGGAAATGATGATGTATCTGTGTTTGTCTGGACTATTGCTGGAGGTATGGTAGACCGTTTTAATTATTCTAATATATAAGGCCAGAAGATAATTTAGATCATAGTACTGCAAAGAGAAAACACCACTGTCAGAGGTCTCTCAGTGCCAAGTGGGAGCTAAATCTGGGTCTTTAATGGGCTTAGCGCTAAACACAATATTAAAGAGCATCCTAATGTTGACAGAGTAGAGGTGGTTTTTAATAAATCCTGCCTGGTATTCCTTTCTTGAGCCTCAGAGCTATAACCTTTGTAAAAAATCTTACGTTCAGATGACGAGAGTGAGATTGGTCTATATGACCCACATAAACTAGGACCCTCTCCTGGTTTTAATAAAAGTATTACAAGAGAGACTGCTGCATGGTTTGAGGTAGGTGCTTATTTTCAATTGAATGGTTGGAGAAACCATCAGGTCCTCGGGCTTCACCTCACAGGAGCCGGGCTGTAGTGAGGCTGACAACAACAAAACCTCCACTGTTTAGACATATTGTCATTTGGTTTCGGTAAGACTTGTGCTCAGAGACTGTGACAGGATGTTCTCTCCCAGCGTGAATAAAAAACAAACATAGAAATCCTAGAGTAACTATTATGGACAGATGAGTAGGAATAGTCTATTAATAGCTCCATTTGTGTCTCACCTTCCACATGTCTACTAAATTAAGATGTGAAATTTATTTCTTAAGAGCCCTAGCTGCAAAGGATAGGGGTCTTTACCTGAATCCAAAACAAAATTAAAGTCCCGTCCAGCTATAAACTCTGTGTGACATTGTAAACTTCAGACAAATGTTAATAAAGAAGTTTGGATAGTTCTGATTTGGACCCTGTGCTATGCAGCTATTGGCTCATGTGCTGGGTCTTTTTTAAAATCTTTTTTTTTATCGTGGTGAAAAGAAAATGTTCTGCGCTAGCATTCATATGGTGACGTTTAGCAGGTTTAATGGTAACTCTATTTCAGTTTAGCACGTTAGCATGCTAACATTTGGTGCAATAAATAGCACTAATAGAAAGTACAGCTGAGACTGACTGGAATGTCATTAGCTTCCCAGGTTGTTAGTTATAGACTAAAGTATTGAACAAATTAAATGTTGACCTCATGATGGTGCTAGATGAAAGTTGAAAGGACCAGTGTGTAGGACTTAGTGGCATATAGCAGGTTAAACCAACTGAACACTCCTCACGTTTGTATTTGACAAGCTGGGAATGAGAACGGGCTGTGTGGTGTGTAGGAGGAACTACAGTGGTCATGAAACTTGCAAAAAACACGAAAAGCCCTGTCTACAGCCAGTGTTAGGTTTGTCTGTTCTGAGCTAACGTAGAACGGTTCAACATGGCGGACTCCACGGAAGGCGACCAGCGATGTCTGTAGATAAAAACGTCTCATTCATCCTCTGGAGACCGTGACCTTTGTATAAAATGCCTGTCAATTCAATAAAAAGCTAAGATGACTTATTGATTTAGCCTTTAAGTTATCCAGTCCTTTAAATGTCATTATGGAAACTTGGAACTGGACGCCAATATACATACTGCGCTGACTAGTTTCTGTCTAGTAAGGCACAGGCCATATTACATAACAGCATGTGTTGTTGAAGGAGGCCCAGGATGCCGAGCAGTATTTTAACAGACCTGATTCACACACACTTCAAACACACTTGAGCTCGTTGCTTCCTATGTCCCGCTCAAGATTGTGCAACAGAGTGCAGGAGAGCATCATCCACCTCACCCAGTGCCATACATTACCCCTGTCTGGCCCCATGCGGGGCTGCCAGATTTTTTTTATTTGTTTGTTTAGCTCAAGAGGAAGAGGAGGGGTGCTTGAAACCCTCACTAATTTCAAAAGGTCTGGAAATGCTGGTCAAACCAGTAAAATGAGGGTGCTGATTCCCGCTCTGCTGCTGGGTCAGTACCTTCAGTAAACCGCTCAGTAAGACGGGTCATCCTGCTTAGGTAACACACTCAGTGTGGTCAGAGGTCACACAAGAGCCTTTAACTGAGGTCCACAGATGAGAACATTGACAAGTGAAGTATGAGTCTTGGTGGGGAGAAAGAGGAGCAGTGTGACAGATCCGGATGTGTGTGTGAGAGAGAAAGGCCGTATATGTGCATACACGTCTGTGTGATAAATTAGTCTCTAGACAGATGAACTATCCCACTTGGAGATATCGTACTACCAACCCCGAAGCCGAGTGGATAAATATTTGTCTTTGGTTGTCTTTGGAATTATTACATATTATTCCAGCCACCGAATGACTCAGACGTTGAATCAGACTGCACCGACTTTGTTTTCCTTTTTAAAAGATACTGCGTAGGGCAATGGTCGCTTGGGTCTGGATTCATCAACTTTGGTCGAAACAAAAAATCGACCTGCCAAAAAATTCATCAAGCACCATCATAATTAATTATGAACAGTTAATTCAACTGTATGATTTAGCATTGAGGTCATAGTTGTTGGTCGTGTTTAGGTGTTTCAAATATCATGAGAGGGTGGGCAATGTAAATGTAAGGTAGTTCAGTACAACACCACCATTAAGTATTATAACTTTAATTTAATAAACATCAAATTGCAATTTAGACATTTCTAATGAATGTTATGAACTTCAAAAAAGTAGAATTCATGGCAGAGCT